CTTGGCGAAGTCGCGGCGGATTTTGCGGATGCTCTTCCCCCCCTTTACGGCTTCCACCAGTACAGCTGCTCTCTCTCCTTGATGTCTTCCTTTATCGCTTCTCTGCATAGCTTCGCAAGCTCAGACGTCAGCTGGTAATTGCCTGCGGCTCGTGCGGCTCCACGTTGGCGAATCAGCTCGAGTTTCCAGAGATAGACGCTTCTTGGTAATCTTGGAACTCTCTGACTTCTTGGCGCAGTCGTGAAGGTGTGCGACAAGCCGTTCGTATTCCTCGTCGATGTTGTCGATTATGGAATCCTCCCAGAGCCCAGCGAGAGAAGTGAAGTGATCCCAGTTGATGACGGTCTTGGGGCTTCGCTTCTTGAACTTTGCGGCTCTTTCTCCTCGCATCGAAAAGCGGAATCTTGCGCGAAGGAGACGGTGGTCGGATCCCGTGTAGAACTTAGGGACAACAGCGACATCGGTCAGGCAAAACCTTCGATTGCAGATGATGTGGTCGATCTCGTTATGGAATTGTCCACCAGGAGACTCCCATGTCCAGCGTAGAGAGTAGGGCTTCTGGAACTGCGAGTTACCATGGATGGTATGGGTCGACATGATAAACTCAGACAGCCTTTCACCCTGCTCATTCCACTCCGTTCCGTGAGTTCCGATGTGAAGTTCTTCAGCCGTTCTTCTTGGTCCGATCTTAGCGTTGAAATCACCGACGATGACCTTGAAGAAGGTATGATCTTCCTTGTAGAACTTCTCCAATTCCATATAGAACGCTTCGAGCTCATCCTCGTCGTAGCTTGATGTTGGTGCGTAGGCGACGAAGATTGTCAAAGCCGGAGTTGAACCACATCTTCTCAATCGCAAACGTCCGATTCGGGTCGTCAGATTTTCGTACGAATCGATGTTCATGGCCAAGTGCGTGTTGACGAGGACGCCCACACCGCCAACGCCTCTGCTGTCGCATGTTCCGAGGAACAGTTCTTCTCCAGTCTCGTATACGGCGTGTAGCGGGCGATGCCTCCTCGTCTCGGTCAGTCCGATGACGTCGTACTTGATCTTCCTGGCTTGCAACATCAGATCTTCGATGTGAGCTTCCGATGCAAGCGTCCGTGCGTTGAAAGTACAGATCGTCATCCTAGTCCTGGGCGACTTAAATCTCCGTTGGCCCTGTGATTCTTGCAGCCTCGCCCGAGCGGTCCCAGCCGACGTCGCCCTGTCGGTGGTTCCCTCAGGTTCAGGGGAATGAGGCCCATAATTGTTACTGTTTTCGGCGAGAAGAAATTTAACCACGCGTAGCTCGCCAGGCTCTGACGTGGCACCCTCCGCATTGGTACGTTTTGGAACAGTCCAAACCGTTCACCCCCACGCCACGATGAGGCTGCGGATAGGATTTGTGGGGGGGAATCTGTGTACTGGTTCCTACGCTCAGAGTTAGACGTTCTCTTTGCAAATGGAGCTCTACTCTGCGAGCTCGTACAAATAGCAGTAGTCAAATGTTAAGGACATCACATAAGATGTATAACTGTTTCCAGATGTTTTTATCTTCGCCTTCCGGCCAACACTTCTTTCGTCATATCAAATTGCTCCGCTATATTTGTATCAGTGGAGCGATATGTAGCCACCTTGAAGTCAAAAACATACGAGTACGGTCACAAAAACATCGGATTCGGCTTATTGCTCCTGCAGGTAACAACCATAGCATATCACAATTTATGGATTAGGTGTTTGTTGGCTGCAGAAAAGAAACTGTATTAGCTGGAAAAGGTGAAGCCGTTGAGGCAATGACAATCGCAGAGCGCAACCTTCCGCAATTTTTACCAGCCTACCGACTGGAGCATCGCCTCGGGTTTTATGTTATTTACGAGAGCAGACAAATCAAGCAGACAAAGACGAGACAATTGGGTCTATTTTGGATATATATTCTCTATTAACGCAATCTAATATCGACAGCAGCATTTCCGGACGTGACATGGAATCCTCCAGCGTGGCGAATCACGATTGTCTTGTCTTTGGTTGTGTCCTGAATGAAAACACAAGAAGCATTTCAGCATATTTCAAGCACTTCAGGTCTCTCTTTTCCGTATTCTACGTGAGCGCTCACTGCTTTACCTTTCTCTTGTGACTCTTCCCCTTGTTGCGCTGATCAATCCTTTTTTTCGAATGTGACACACATTCTACTTTTCGCCGAATCGTAGTGGCTTATTGAATGCGATGTGACCTGTACAGTGGCACGCAAGCCAAGTCAGTGTTTTCTGCTCCAAGACGAATCTTCTAAGAATTTACTGTTCCCGGAGAGTAGAAAGATTACTGTTTGGTGGCCTAGGCAGGACCCAACTCGAGATTTGATCCTCGAACAGGGGAAGCAGTATCTTGCCACTAATCTACCTCTTCTCATGGTGGTAATTAATATGCAGCAACATGTAACCTTTGGAAGATCCGTCTCGTGGTAGTTCATGGTAGATATTTATTAGCTGATGCACATAATCTTTTGCAATGAACTTCAGAGTTATTTCTCCGTTTCTGACATCAATCGCGATGCGAAAATGTTCTTTACACAGCCGACGGCGGGAATCTTGCTTGTTTTGCAGGGCAGGACTTTGATTGAGCAATGAGCAGGAACCAAGGACGTTCTCTGAGTGTGGCAAGAATACTAGTCACCAGCTGCGAAATGGCTCTTCTTTGTGGCGTGGCTACTAACGGAGAATGCACTAAGAGTATGCCTTTTCCAGAAAGCAGATACGTGAGGGAGATAAATTCAGGAGGCTGAATTGATTTCGATTCTTCTCGTAGACCACCTTTCACGTGAACACAGTCATCTCATAAACTATCATATCATGTACCCTTTTTGGTTGCAACCATAAGTACGTGAGTTGCATAGCTGCCTACCGCAGCAGTTCTTCCAACTTAAAATGCTGTAGTAAGAAACTCAGATGAAGAAACTCAGATGTGAAAATGCGGATACCACATCATGAGCCGTGTTAGACACTTCTTTTAGCCGCTTCGACCGCTAATGCAAAAGCAGTTCTTAGAATAGGAAAGTCATTGCAATACCGAAGCGAAATGTTTTTGGAAGGAATTACAATACCCTGAGGTAGCTTGGCACCCGGATATTGTAGAATGATATTGATGTTTTTAGAAAACGGATTTTTGAGAGTAAATTGAAAGCAGATTCTGCGCTCATCCGAGTCGTGAGATCCTCCTTTGCCAAAGCAGACGGTGCGTAACTGCAAGGACTCTTCCACTTTCGCAGCTTGAGGTGGTTGCGGCCGTCTCATGTTACAGTTGTATACGGTGTACCATGGCATACACCGACATCCATAGTGGCTGCATAATCTATGAGGGCGTTCTAAATTATAAAAACCGTTGTTTGACACTGCTACACGCATTCCCTGATACCCACAGTTCATTCTAAGATATTGATATTTCCTACTATGTCGCCATGTAGTGGTCCCCTTCTACGCCACCGGTGTGATCTATAAGACGCCATAGTCACCCTTCTCCCTTATTATTCTTACATTACACTGTAGCACGTAACAACGTATGTAACCTTCCTCTTCATAGAAAATTTCAGACAGCAGTGGCTGGCGGACTTCTTGGGATGGTCTACTCTCAGATAAAACTGAATCACACACCACTCTACTACTGCCAAGCGACGTCGAGATCAAATTTCATGTGGTCAATATATCCGCTTTGTGCTCTGCTTACTATGCAACTCCTCGCCGTCTTTATTTTCGGAATGGCTAATAGGAAGAACAGGGTCAGATTATGCTCGGCCTAGATGTTCTCCCTCAGTTTCTATTCTTGTAAATTCGTCATGTTCAACCGTACTTTAGGCTCGCTTGTCGTCAGCAATGCACGCTGATCTCTCTAGCCGTTATCAAAACGAAGAGAATTTGTGGTCTGTTATTGCCTTCGTTCTGAACCTAATCCAATTTGAAACTTATGTCTGGACAAAGACATCTGTTTGAATTCAGCTTTCATTGTTATTATTGTCTCAGGAACGACCTATTAACTGACTCATATCTCACTTCAACATTTTTAGGACGATCAAGTCGTTGAAATTGTATGTCTACACTAATACAACGCTCACTGCTACCTATATCACTGCTATCATTATATTGCTTTTCAACAATGAGCTTTTCTCGCTGCCCACTTATTACGCTCTCGTGGATGGTAAAGATTTTTTTCTAGTAGCTTAGTATTCAAAGAAAAGTACGTCCTAGATGTGTGACCCGGCTCTGTTATGTGGAAATTCCAAGAATGCTTAAAGGCAGTTGGCACGATGATTTGGTGCTCGGCCTAAAATGCTAGTAGGGCGCTATATAGTGGGGAAATGGCGAAAGAACGGAGTGAAACGGTCAAAATCCTGCGAAGAAAAGAGCCTCCGTTCTCACTGTGTTAGTAATCAATTTTGGACGAGTTTCCCGTAGGCATCTTGCCAATAACCGCTACCGAAGGTACGGCTGCATATGTGTACTCATATATCCATGCAGCATCACGGCCGCTTCATACCAATCCTTCGCTTCATAATTTGCTTAGCAAATGAATCAATTAGAGCGTCTGGAACAGTCGTCCATTTGTGGGCGGGCGGGCGTTTGGGACGTAAAGTTGTGGCTTGATAGGGCCCTTATAAGGGCACCTTCCTTGGAAAAGGCATTATGCAGCGCCTGCTCAGGGTCGCGGAATTCCGTCCTGCCAGGCGTATTAGTCCTGCTCGTCTTGGAGGATTTATCGTGCCAACTGCCTTTAATCAAGATACTGAGCTTTGATGCGAGAGAACTGGATAAAAAAGCCACTTATTTGTGTTTTCCTTCTTATATATTAGGTTGTCGCATAAGTTCTTATACACGACTTTTTTGTAAATATCTCAAAAGCGAACCAGCCTGGAGATTAGAGGTATGCACCATCACCATTCACTACTCGACGCCAGCGCTCAGGCAGCTTGTCGATTCCATCCTTCCAGAACGACGGAGGCTGGGACTTGAAGAAGTCGTCGAGCGCCTTTCTGACCTGATCCTTTGTTTCGAACTTTTTTCCGTCCAGATAGCGCTGCAGGTGGCTGAACAGCCAGTAGTCAGAAGGAGCGAGGTCAGGGCTGTAGGGAGGGTGGGCGACCATCAGCCATCCGTACTTCTCCAGCTCGGCCTGGGTCGCCTTTGCAGTGTGAGGTCGGGCGTTGTCATGGTGGAAGTAGATTTCCGCATTCCTTCCACGAGTTACGGTCGACTGATCTTTCAATTTTCGGGCAGAATGGTCACAGTATGTGGAAGCGTCAATCGTCTGTCCCTTCTCCAGCAGCTCCCAGTACTCCATGCCTCTTCTGGACCACCAACAGGACAGAGAACCTTTTTGGGGTGAAGGTCGGCCTTTGGGGTGGCTTCTGGCTGTTCTCCTTTGTCGACCCACTGCCGCTTCCTCACAGGGTTATCGTAGACCCACTTCTCATCTCCAGTGATCATCGAGTTGAGAAAGTGAAGCCTCTTTTGGAAAGTGAGGAGAGAAGTGCAGGTGGTCACCCTCCTCGAGAGGTCATAAGCGGACAGTTCATGTGGGACCCATCGACCAAGCTTTGCTACCTTGCCGAGCTTTTCTAGTCCACGTGCAACCGTCGAATGATCATAGCTAAGCATGGTCGCCATTTCTCTGGTGGTGAGGTACGGGTCCTCCTCCACGGTGGAACGTAGTACTTCCAAATCCAACTCCATCGGCCGACCCGACCTCGGAGCATCTTCGAGAGAAAAGTCTCCTTTCTTGAATTTGGCGAACCAATTCTTGCATGTCATGTAAGAGATGACGTCCTCACCGTATGTATCCACCAGCTTGGTATGGGCTTCCTTTGCATTCCAGCCGAAATCGTGGAGCAAAACCAAACAGTGGCGCAGGTACGTTTTGTCACAGTGCAAATTGTGCGACATTGTGTACTGCAAATGCAAGCTCGGTGAGTGATAGCTAGTGTAATGAAAGAGTATAATGTACACGTCACGCACACGTGATGACGTAATACCAACATCCATGCGAACGAAATAGGAGAGGATCAAACACGTGTATAAGAACTTATGCAACAACCTAATACCTTCGTAATAATCCTAAACCAGCATCCAAATCGTTCCAGTGATAAAAGTCGAGCTGTGAAAAGTTCCGGTTCGATATGAAGCATAAGAGGCCTACTTGTTAGTCAGAAGAACTCAGACGAGTTACTGTAGTGTGCAGCTTTTGTTCTTTTTTTTGACATCACACTCACTAGCTTGTATTTTTCCAGGAAGCAATCTCCAATATCTTTACGCGTTGGTTTTGCCAATGGTGTTCTGGTATCATCGAAAAAATGTGCGTAGTCAGATTCGCAATGCCGTCGACCGAAGTCTTGGCATGGACTACGACAGAGTATTCGACGCGCTACGCGACCAATGGGACAACCATCACTTGCCCTTCAAGAATGGGAGGACCCCTTCGAGAGTTACTGCTCTATGAATAGTCTAATATCTGAGGTTAACAACTGTTTGTTTTGTACATGTTTATAAATCATCATGGGGATCCTGTGTCTGCATACCCTATCGCAACACATAAAGAGAAGTCTGATATGCTTGTTTATGTGTCCGATGAACTAGACCCGCAGCATTTATTAGGTCATCCCATTCAAACGTGCCGCTACATATAGAGGAATGGCAGAAAAGCAAAGGGGATAGAGCAGCGGGCTACTATACCATTTGGAAGCTAGTACCTTAAGCTGTGTATCTGTGAAATTTGGCGAACCTAGCCCCAGAAGAAGTTCTCGAGAAATTGAAAAGAAGCCCGAGTGGTGAAAATCGGCGCCGGTTTTTCAAATCAGACGTCATAAGAGGAAAGTGCGCTGCTCAAATTTGACCTGCGCCGGACCATAGTTGTGTGTAAGGGTGTTCTCGAAATACACGGTGGAAGATTTGGTTCAGGAGCCCGTACAAGGAAGAAAGGAAAAAATTTGTTGTCGTGGATGGTCCCATAATATTCATCCTGCACAAGAAAAACGGGTGGATGAAGTCAGGCACTGAATATCTGATCACAGAGCCTGGACCTTTGTCGGGCTTCCCCGCGAG